CTGTTTGCAAAAGATGGCGCCACACTCACTGTTTTAGGCATAAAGTTGATCTTTCAACTAATTTGCACAAAGATGTAAAAAAAAACATTTATCCAGTTTATCAACTTAAATAAGCCTTTTCGGGATTTTAAACTACTTCAGAAGCCCTAAGGATATTCATGGTGAAAACATTGGAAATCTCCTTGTGAAATTTGCTAGAGTATGTAACGGTCAGTGTTTTGTTTTGATGGTCGACATTGAGTTCAACAAAGGATTACAAAGACATAACAAACAGCTCCAGATATGTTTTTGATGTGGATATGAATATGTAAAATGGTTAAAATCTCTAAAAAGTCTATGTTGAATGATGAAGGCCCTTAGTTAACAATTTACTTGGAAAAAAATTGGCAAAACTAAAATATAAGTACATAAACCGATTAATCGATTAGTCGTAAAAATAATCGCCCGATTAATCGATTATCAAAATAATCGTTAGTTGCAGCCCTATATGGCACACTTGTCTTAGTCACTATGTTGTAGAAGATTAAAAAGATGTTACTTCGGCACCAATTAAACACACAACACTCATGAATTAGTCGAAAATCAAGAATGTATTGATTCTTTCAATATTCAATGGATTGAATTTTGACCTCCTCTTCTTTTTCTTTCTCTTTATAATTTACTGAAAATTAGATATGTATTAGACATTGCCAGTATTATTCTATCAAATCACGCAGTCTAAATATCTACAACCACCAAGCATTTTTAATGCAAGGAGAAACTTAGGTAACTTTAAACACAAAACAAATGGACCTGTCCGACTCGAGTGTCTATGCTTCGTGTGTCTCTGGTTCTGTCCAAGTGTCTATGATCCGCGTGTCTCGCGTGTCTCCGCCTGTCTGGGTTCTGTCTGCGTATATGTAAATGTAAATGTCTGTCTGTGGTTCTGTTCGGGTGTCTGGCAGAGCTAAAGCGGACTTAGCCTGCCACCTTGTGGCGATAAGATGTACTATTTTTCACGCAGCTGCGTGATTCCCGAGAAGCGTGAATGAAGACGACAAAACGGAATGGGACCTACTGTATTGCATAGTGATCTGACATTAAGCAGAGCAAGGTTAAAAATAATATCAGTGTCAGTGGGTTTAGTTGATTGATTACAAAGAATTGGAATTAGATTTCCTGAGTTGGACCGTCTAACTGCTGTCCTTCTGTTATATTTGTGTTTATTCAAATTAAAACACATTTCTGAGCCGGTGCGAGGAACACACACAGTCTCTATTGGTTTAAAAAGTGAACTCTGTTTTACTTTGTTAAGTTCCAGATGCATAACTCAGTACCGTTCAGTGGCAGGACTGGTATTACACTGCCAGACGGACAGGGGTCAGTGTTTGCACCACAGTACTCACCCGGTGCTGGAGTGGAGGAGGAAGGTGGTAGTGGGGGCCGAGAGGCCTCGGATGTAAACAGTCACGCCCCCCTCGGGGAGCACTGAACAACATGGCGTAAAAAGTCCATCAATAAACTGGTACCGTATCTGTTCGGGTGCAGACCGTCTGGACGATAGGCCACGTGACGCTTCCAGAACAGGCCAAAGTTGTTCACAAAAACAAAGTTAAAAGTGCTGCATGCAGACTGGAGCCACATATTCAGCGCCACAACGCGACTGTACAAGCAGTCTCCCCGGTTTACAGTCGGGACTGGACCAGAGATAAAAACACACAACCCGGAGGACTGGAGGAGGCGGAATAGATCCATAAAATGCTTCTTTGTGACCTCGGACTGCTGCAGCTTCATGTCGTTGATCCCCACACGCACGATTACCTTTGAAATGGTATCAGGCAGGGACTGAAGCAGAGGAGGGAGACGGATGAGCAGGTCTGGAACAGTGGCTCCGGGAAAACACTGAGTGACCGCGTTAAAAAGCGGACGTGTCTCACGATGGAATCTCCAACAATCAAAGTAGTCGGGGCGAAGAGTGGACGTAGCCGCGGAGAGGGCGCTCGGTGTCCATGGCCGGAACCAGCGGGCTCATCCAGGGATGAGTCCGAACCAGGGCGCTGCTGAACACATGGAGGGGAGCGGGGGTGTTGATTCTCAGCTCCGGGCAACCCACGATGTGTGCTCGGGGACGCTGGAGCGGCGTGAGGAGCAGGCTCGGGTCGCTGCTGCTGACCCGGTGGAGGTAAGCGGTGGTGATGCACTGGGGTCAGAGAAGAGGAATGACCACTCTTTTGTCTGAGGACGGCTTCCTTTAGGAGCGTTTTTCTCGCAGTGGACTTAGATCCACGAACGGCAGAGTACGCTGAAGAGTCCAGAGGTTCTGCTGAGGGGGCTGGGATGTCAGTGGAGAGGGCTGCATAGCGGTTTGACAGGCTTAGGACATGGGCCACGGCGCTGGATGGCTCCTTGCAGTTCGCGGGTTCCTCATTCGGTACCGGGCGCTTAGGTGTAGAACAGGAGGGTCCAGAGCTGACAGACCTCTCCCACACGACAGTGTCACAGTATGCAGCGCTCAGTGACATAAGTCGTGTGTGCTGCCCGCCAGCGACATCAAAGAGTTTGGACACGAGTGATTGTTTTTCCTGTAGTTCTGCAGTGAGGCGAAGGACTTCTTTACGGAGGTCTGCAATAGTGGCACGGTCCCTCTCCAATGTGAGGCGACTAATGTCGTTTATAGGGTTTGTGGTTATTGCAGTGTCGCTTTCCATGTCTGTGTAGGTTTAATAAAAGCTCATGACGTGGTGCCCTCGTGGTAGCCTCCGAGCTATCACACACACACAAGCACTCAAATTAGTCAGCTCTCCTCACACTTGAACACTAGAACAGTTATGTTTATTCATATTTTGTTTAAAGTATTGTTGTCCTAACAAAAGCAACTTCAGATATTGTTGTTCAACTGAATTGTTATGAGCTAAGCAGGGCAGGGCCTGGTTAGTACTGAGATGGGCGACCTCTGGTGCCACAGTGGTGTGTGTGAATAGTTAGTCGTGATTTGAGGGGGTGATGACACATACTTATTTCTTCGCTTCTGTCAGTCTATCCCAGGGCAGCTGTGGCTCAGTGGGGGCGGATTTATTACCTTAAATAATAGACTATTTGATGTGTGCAATCTGAGTGCTCTTATTTCCTTTCTCTGCTGTAATGTGCGCAACGATGACACTGACATTTCTCCACTGTGAGACTAATAAAGGTTTATCTTATCTTATAGCTGTGTTAGCCCATCCAGTTGTAGGTTAGGCAAAGTTAGCTTTTGTAGCTCCCTTGTTACCAGAGGTGGTAGCCAGATTAGCATCTGCTCACAAACTGGGTAGTCTTTTGTTAGCATTGGAGGCCCAGGATTTAGTTCAACATCACCAGCCAGAAGTAGTATAATCACAAGATGACACATCAATGATCCTGATGTTTGTAATGGTTCATGTTTACCGGGGGGAGGCCTAGCACGGCCATGATCCAGAAATCTTGTGAACAGAAGTTGTTGACTCCTTTTGGCTGAAGAATAGATGTGGCTATCTATTTTCCTTGGACATGTTAGGCTCAGGAGAAGAAATGAGCAAATGAAGGCAATAGACAAACAGGATGGCAAAATCTGAGGATCTTTGAAGGTTTTAAAAGGGTTTTTAGACAAACACACTGGAACTGCCAGACAGTGTGCCTGCTCCTCGGCATCCATTTTTATTTAATTTTTTTCATGTGTGGAGAGAATGCAAAAACTATCTGAACTCTGAACTTTGGAAAGCGCTTTGGGTGATCTTGGTCTGTAAAATGCGCTATATAAATAAACATAACTTACTTACTAAACCTGGTCTCTGGTGAGGGGTTTTAGCGCCTTAAAACATTTAACTGCTGCTTTAAGGCTTTCACTTATTGCGGGTTATTTTTTAGAAAACATCACCCCTGTGATTAACCAGGGACCTGTGTGTTTAATATGATATCAATGAAATACATTGAAATAGACACTGGGACAGTGTGTGAATAGCAATGAATAGACTACACCTGAAGTCATAATGATGAAAGATTATATAGAAGAGGAGAGGATAGTGCTGTTACTATACTTATCCAGCAGGGGGCTCCATATGTAGCGTCATTGACCATCTTTGTTTTTAGACTTAAAGGAACTATACCCGATTTATTTTCTAATGAGTTCATAAAAATGCGTATCACTACATACAAGTTGTATGTAGAAATTTTGCATGACGCTAGCTCTCCTCCTCTCACAGAACGAGGGGCAGCGCTGTTACAAACAGGTCGCCTCCTCTAGGCGAGAGCTGGAGGGTTTCTCAAAAGGAGAAGCCTGTGAGCAAGTTTGGGGGCGGTGCTGAACATTCAAACTGATAAAAACCTTGCAGAAACGGGTATAGCTCCTTTTAAGGTTGTATTTCTAAGTCTTCCCTGAGTCTTACTGTACCTAACCATATGCTAAATTAAGGACTGTTTTAAGCTTGGACTTGAATGTAGAGGCTGTCTGCTTCTTTAACGTATATATGGAGCTGATTCCACAGTAAAATGCTCTGCTGCTTACTGTGACACCAAAAGTTTGGTATTTTGCGAGTGCAGTGAGAGAGTTTGGTTGATATGATACTATTGTTTCTTGGAGGTAGGAGGGAGTCATACCATTTATAGTTCCCTTTACAGAGTGAGCTTTCTCTTTCTCTTCAGAGGTAGATTAATGAGTGTTTTTCATCTGTTTCAGGTCCTGAGCTGCGGAGAAAACACGGGACGCTTCATGTGTGCCTTAAACCCCCTCTGGAGCTTCCCCCCTGACCTTCCCCTGGTTGCCCCCCCCCCAACCTCCTCCTTGACTCACCCCTGACCTGGCCCCTGACGTCTCCCCTGACCTCCCTCCTGGCCTTCCACTTGGCCTTGCTCCAAGCCTCCCCTCTTACCTCCCTCCTAACCTCCCTCCTAACCTCTTGGCGCCCCTCGTCCAGTGCTGATCGCTTTATGTTTTGGGGGTCCACCGGAGCCCCGGCTGGAAACCCCCTGCCTGCACCACGGCAGCTCCGCGCTCTCACCTGGTCGCCATGCCAACAGAGGCTCTGGCCCCGCCCTCTCTGGCAGATAACAAGGCCCCTGGCCCGGCCCCCCCCTTTGGCGCAGCGGTGCCGCTGCGCATCCTCAACAAGGGGCCCGAGTACTTCAGGAGAACGGTACGAAACAAGTTATAAAGTAAAAGTTTAAACTTTTATAGCGTTTTACAATAAAGACTTCAGGAGACACATGAGAACACCACTGTCTATAGTCTGAGTCCACTCACAGAGGACATTAGAACCAGCTGACAGAGGACTTTAGAGCCCGCTCACAAAGGACTTTAGAGCCCACTCTCAGACAGAGGACTTTAGAGCCCGCTCACAGAAGCTGACCCTGTAAGTCGTCCTCAGGTGGAGCCAAACCCGAAGCGTCTAAGCGCAGTGGAGCGCCTTGAGGCCGATAAAGCCAAGTATGTGAAGAGCCAGGAGGTGATCAACGCCAAGCAGGAGCCCATCAAACCTCCGGTCCTTGCCAAGCCCACGACCGCGCTGCTGACCCGCAGGGAGAGGGGCGCTCCTGGGGGCTCGGGTCTGCCCTTCAAACCCTCCAACAACAACAGCAAAGCAGAACACAAGAGTGGAGCCAAGAGGGACAACCTGAACCTGGAGATCCTCAAGAACCTGCTCAACTCTGGGCCTGGAGCTGACGGCTATGGAGGGGGAGGAGCCAAGAGGACTAGTGGAGGCCTGGGGAGGAGCTGGACGCCCTCTGGGTACGGTCTAGAGTGAGTGAGGGTTAGGGTTAGTTTTTGGGCTAGGGTTTGGGGTAAGGGACCAGGGCTAGGGCTAATGCATCAGTTTTATACAGCGCTTAATCTTTTCACAGCATTATTCATTCACTGTAGCCACAGCTGCCCTGGGGCACACAGACAGAAGCGAGTCAACCAGTTTGTGCCCCCAGCCCCTCCCACCACCACCAACCATTCACACACACACCAGACTCATTCTAATGTGGGTCTAAGTGTATCGCCTAAGGACACAACCACAGTTTGGCCGCAGCCACCCCACTGTGGCATCTGGTGTTCCAATAGGTCTCCCATAACAGTACTAACCAGAATCTGGCTTTCACCACCAGGGGTCGCCACAAGGCGCCTAGGTAACATACCAGGTTTGGTGTAAGGGTTGTGAGTGGCCTCAAAAGAAGAGTGCCCTCTCATAGGGGATTGCACTCGCAGGATCTTCTCCCTAAAAAATGGGGACAATATGCAAATTGACGTAGCAAACATGTTCCACGTCACACACATTATCAATGTGTCTGATTTCACCACAGATAAGATATGACGCAGGTATGACTTTTGAAACAGTATTTATTAAAGTGAGACGTTTTTAATTGTATTTTATATGTAGAAAATTAGCTGTAATTAGGTACAGGACTGCGCACACACACACAGAGACAGACACACACGTACATAAACGGCTCACAGACCCACACACACAAACTTGCGCGATGATGCAGTCTCTGAACTACACCCTGGATCTGTAATGATGACATGGATCCACGTCTCTGAAGCCTCAGGGAACGCCACATGCTGCGGCAGCTTCGTGAGCGAACGTCACCACACACGGCACCAATACACGCTTTAAAAAAATCCCCTCTGAATGACTCACACACGCTTCGAAGCTTCCTCATGTTCCGGACAAACTTGCGCCCGGTTTTTTCATGTATGTTGTTTTCTTTCATTGGGGCGCGGCTTTTCCCAGCAGCTAATACCAACTATAATACCTCCTCCCCTCTGCTAAAATTAAACATTTGGACAGAGACAAAGTAAAAATATTAACAATAAAGACATACATACAGAATACAGAACATTAGTCAGACCTGATGCTGTGTCTTCTGTGTCCTGTCTGTGGTCTATATGTACCTGTGCTTCTCTCCTTGGTTGCGGGTTCATTGTCTTGTCAAGTTCCGTCAGGTCATGGTACTTTGGATTTTGGCGTTTGTGTTTTTTGCCTTGGACTATATTATTAAAGTCGTTATTACTGGCATTCCTGCGTTTGAGCTCATCACTCATCTCACCTCATGATTCACTGCAAGATTTCAAATTATAAAAGTATTTACACAGTCTTTTTATTAAAGATTTTCGTTAGTTTTGTTTTTATCAAATATTTAAGAATTTTACAGTGGCTCTGCCTTTATTAAATGTCGATTTTAATTCTTATAGACACTACTAAATGAGGTGCTTGTGAACTGGTGCCAGCTCTGATTGCCACCCCCCATCCCAGAATGTATTAAGGGGAAGAAAAGGGATGGATATTTATAAGGTAATTTTTGTGTACATTTATTACAACATCTTCAGCCTTTTTAAAATTATTCATTATTTTTTAGGGGCGAAGGGGGGGTTATAGTCTGTGTATTTTGAATGCTAGATTAATGAGGATCTTTACGTAATAGCTCGATGACTTCTTTTTTTATTCCTGAAGGAGTAGCTTTGCCCTCGATCCCAGACCGGTGTGTTCAGCCAATCGACTCTGGTGGAGCATTGGCAGAACCACAAGTCCAAGTAGCAGTACCCTGCAAGAATTGGATGAGATCCTTCACAAGTGCCACAGTTGTGTCCTCCTCTCTTCTCACGGATAGCTAGTTTTAAAACCCACTTGCGAAACTTCAGGAACTGATGAGGATGTCTGCCGCGTGGATTGATGTCTTGGTTCATTTAATAGAAGACACCGGAGCGGATAAACTATGAACAACGACGTCACTCCAAGATCCTCTGTCCGATTCATCTCCACACAGCCCAGAGACCAATTTCTTGAATACTACTATGAGCCTTAGCCCAATCCAAATTTGTGATTAGTTCCAAATTCATGCGACCATTTGGGCCTTAATTTACAGACTCTCTATTGGTAGGTTATGTAATGATTAGAGCGCGACCAGCAATGGTATCCCCGGCGGTAGGTTACATCCGTAAGACCGAAACATAGAAAATGGCTAACCAAACTATGTACCGGCAATTGTTTGAAACCTCATTGGGTTGTAATATACATTTTAAATTACTGTTAGCGTTTTATTTATTTTTTAGAGATGGACCTGTGTGACACACCATTGGTGCACCATTTCCATGAAGTGATTGAAGGAGCACCACTTGAGTCGTTGGTGGAGGAGGCAAACATGTCTATTCGCCAAATTTCATGCCCCGCTTGTTGTCCTCTTTGGTCTGGATTAATCCTTGGTTGTCAGAGCTGACGCAAAAGCAGAACTGCAAAAAGTAATATAATTTAATAAATGCCAAAAAAAGTAAAAAACAGAAACCGGGAACAAGAGAAGGGGGGAAAACACAATGGGCCGACAACCAAGAGGGAACATGAGCACAGGGTCTAAATTACACACACCGAGTGGACACATGGTGTAGCACATCAGGGAGGGGCAAACAATCAACAAGACAGGACAAGGAACGCAAAAAACTCACATCTAAGGGAACAAAAAAAAAATATCAAATTAAACCAGATACCACATTCCAGAAAGTCCACTCCCATGAAATTGGTTAAGTGTATTGAAAAGCACTTCCACTGACTTAAACAATTTTCGGCCAAATTTTAGTATTTGTGAGTTGCAAAGGTTATCTTGAAAATTTGATTTTCCAAAAGTTATATCCCTACCCTAATTGCATTTATCATTTTGTCTCCCTATCCATCTGGGTTTTCGATCAAGGTACTCAACCACCAATGCTCTGTTTAAATGCTATCAATGATGTATTTTCTTGATTTGACCAAAATATGTTCTGGGCTCCTATTCCATGCTCTTTCCAAAGCCTTTGACTAGTAGGATACTCCCCTTTCTACTTTGACAAGCTTAAAGCAATTAGGTCTTGATACCCAACGCCATTTTCAATATGTTGTTGCTCTCAATTGTTGTTTTTCCATTCCTAGGTCCAACAAAGGCATAATTGATAACGGCTCACTTTAGGTCCCCTTCTATTCTCACTATTCATCAACGATCTTCAAAAGTCATATCAAAATAAAAATATATATCGCAGACGACAGTCATTTACACATCTACAGTAGGTCCATTCGTTGTTGTCGTCTTTCATTCACTTTTTCTTTTTCGGGAATCACGCAGCCTGCGTGAAAATTAGCTACATCTTATCGCCCACAAGGTGGCAGGCTAAGTTTCCGCTATAGCACTGCCAGCGACTTAGGACGCTCGGTATAGACTGCGTGCAAACTGTCTAGCCCAGCGGTGCTATGTTGGACGCATGGTTAGCATTAAATACAGGGACTGGGAGAACCAGGTTCGGATTCTTGTCTGAGGGACCATCTTTGGTGGGCTTGTGGCAAAATGGTTTTTTCATTAACAATTATTATATACATCTTGTCTTTAAATGTCGGAAAAATCTGGTGAAATTCACTAGTGTTATACGTTAAAAATTGTGATATGTTTTGATAAACCGAACGTTAGTTACATCCTCCGCTCTGGCCCCGGGAGCAGCGCTGTACCCCCGCTGCTGACAGCTCACGTGACCGCACTGCCGTCTGGCTCCGAGCGCGGAAATAGACACGCGGACTCACGTCTCTCTCCTCTTCTGCTAGCGTCTTCTCGCTCGCTGCTGCGTCTCTCTCTCTCTGCTCGAGCGTCCTCTCTCTCTCTGCTCGGCGTCTCTCTCTCGCGCTCGCGTCTCCTCTCTCAGCTCGCTCCTCTCTCTCTGCTCGCGTCCGCTCTCTCTATGCTTCACAGTCTCTTTCTTGCTCGGGTTCTCTCTCTCTTGCTCACGTCTCTCTCTCTCTGCTCGTATTCTCTCTCTCTCTCTCGCATCTCCTTCAATCTGCTCACCTTCTCTCTGCTCACGTCTCTCTCGCTCTCTCTCTGCTTCACGCCTCTCTCGCTATGCTCGCATTCATCTCTCTGCTCGCATCTCTCTCTCTCTGCTCGCATTCTCTCTCTCTCTTGCTGCCTATCTCTCTCTATGCCGCATCTCTCTCTCTAGCTCGCGTCTCTCCTCTTGCGCGCGTCTCTCTCCATGCTCGCGTCTCTCTCTCTTCTGTCACCCTCTCTCTCTCTGCCGCGTCTCTCTCTCTGTCCCTCTCTCTCTATCTCTCTCTGCTCACCCTCTCTCTCTCGATGCTCAGTCTCTTCTCTCTGCTCACGTCCTCTCTCTGCTCAACTCTCTCTCTTCTCTCTCTGCTCTCGCCTCTCCTCTTGCTCGGTCTATCTCTTCTTGCTCACGTCTCCTCTCTCTCTGCTCACGTCACTCTCTGCTCCCGTCTCTCTCTCTCTCTCTTCTCTTTCTTTTCTTTTTATGTCCAAGTCTCTCTTCTGCTAGCGTCTCTCTCTCTCTGCTCGATCTCTCTTCTGCTCGCGTCTCTCTATCTCTGCTCACGTCTCTCTCTGCTCACCTCTCTCTCTTGCTCACGTCTCTCTCTCTCTGCTCACGTCTCTCTCTCTCTCTGCTCCACGTCTCTTCTCTTGCTCAACGTCATTCTCTCTCTCTGCCTCACGTCTCTCTCTCTCTGCACAGTCTCTCGCTCTCTGCTCACCGTCTTCTCTGCTCGCCGTCTTCTCTCTTGCTCTCGTCTCTTCTCTGCTCTCTCTCTCTGCTCAGTTCTCTCTGCTCCCGTCTCTCTCTGACCGAGACTCCTTCTCTGATCCACGTCTCTCTCTGCTCACGTCTCTCTCTGCTCACGTCTCTCTCTCTCTCTTCTCAGTCTTCTCTCTCTCGGTCAGTTCTCTGTCGGTCTCTCTCTCTCTCTGATCACGTCTCTCTTGCCTCTCTCTCTTGTTGCGTCTCTCCTCT